TACACTGGTACAGATAGGAACTGGAAACACAGGGAATCCAGGACAGATGATCCCTTCAGGACCAGTGGTGAGAGTGGTGATACTGGAAGGGTGGAGGGGAGGTGTGGCAGAAAGGGGGAACCGATTACAAGGATATACATATGACCCCCTCCCTGGGGGATGGACAACAGAAAACTGGGTGAAAGGAGACATCAGATAGTGTAAGACATGACAAAATAATAATAATTTATAAATTATTAAGGGTGAGGGAGGGATGCTGGGCAGGGAGGGAGGGGGAAAATGAGGCACTGATACAAGGGCTCAAGTAGAAAGTAAGTGTTTTAAGAATGATGATGGCAGCAAATGTACAAATGTGCTTGATTGTGATAAGAGTTGTATGAGCCCCCAATAAAATGATTAAAACATAAAGTCAGCTTTCTCTCCCGTGGACAGGCTGCTCAGGGGGTTGAACTGCTGGCCTTTCAATCCAGAGTCGAGCATGCAGCCACTGCATCACCAGGGTCCCCTTGTCAAGGTTCTTCCCCCAAAACATCAAACTCGCTGCCATAAAAGCCATTCCGACTCATAGTGACCCTATAGGAGAGGGTAGAATTGCCCCTGGGAACTTCTGAGAGCAACTCTTTAAAGCAGTGGTTCTCAATCATCCTAATGCTGTGACCCTTAATACAGTTCCTCCTGTGGTGGTGACCCCCAACCATAAAATTATTTTCGTTGCTGCTTCAGAACTGTAATTTTGCTACTGTTATGAATCGTCATGTAAATATGTGATATGCAGGATGTATTTTCACTGTTACAAATTGAACATTGTTAAGCATAATTAAAGTACAGTGATTAATCACAAAACAATATGTAATTATATATTGTGAAATAGTTATGTTTTCCGATAGTCTTAGGTGACTCCTATGAAAGGGTTGTTCGACCCTCAAAGGGTTGTGACCCACAGGTTGAGAACTGTTGCTTTCAAGGGAGTGGAAACCCCCGTCTGTCTCCCGAGGAGCACCTGGTGGTTTTGAACTGCTGACCTTGCAGATTGTAACCCAATGCATAACCACTACACCACCAGGGCTTCACCCCGCTAAAAAGTAATGGACAGTTGGGTTTTTTTTAAGGCTTAACATGAAGCAGATAAGTAGACACGATTTGATAATCACCAAGACACTATTTTAATTAGGGGCTACAATACTTACCTTAACCACTGTCTACTACAATATTTTTAATGCTTTATTGTGGTAAAATGTACATCACAAAATTGTCGTCAGTTCAACATTTCTTATGTATATGATTCAGTCACATTTCGTTCATTTTGTACAACGATTACTATTATGTTCCCCTACCATTAGGAGAAACTCAGTGCCCATTAAATAATGACTCCCTCCCTCACCTTCCTCCCGCCCTTAGCACACAAAAGTTACCAAATATACTTGTGTATAAGCCGAGTTTTTCAGCATGTCTTTAATGCAGTTTTTGTGGTAAAATTAGGTGCCTCGGCTAATATTTGGGTTGGCTTATACAAGAGCATATATGGTAATAAACTTGTGTTATTTGGTCTCTATACATTTAAGTGGGGTCATCCAATATGGGTCCGCATGTAACGTATTTCATTCAGCATAATGCTTTCAAGACTCACCCAGGCTGTAGCCGATATCATGACTATATTTCTCTTTATGGTTGAATGGTATCCCATTTTTATTAGTCCCTTGGATGTTGCAAACAGTCAATGTGCTTGGTGGCTAATAGAAAAGTTGGAGGTTCAAATACAACTAGACGTGTCTTGGAAGAAAAATCTGAAGATCCACTTTGGATAAATCAGCCACCGTGGCAGACTCCAGGGGCCTCCATGATTCAGAGTTGAAGATGGTTACTTTTTAAAAATACTCCTTTGAATGCCTATACCAGGAGGAGCCCTGGTGGTGTAGTGGTTCTGAGATATACCTCTAACTGAAAGGTAAGCAGTTCAAAACCACCAGCTGTTCTTTGGGAGAAACAGGAGGCTTTCTACTCCCGTAGAGAATCCCAGTCTCAGAAACCCACAGGTGCACTTCTACTCTGACCTAGTGGGTCACGTGAGTCCGCACTGATGGACATTTAGGTCCTTTCCACCATTTAGCTCTAGTGAACAGTTTCACTGAACATTGGTGTACAAGTTTCTGCTTCAGTTCTTTTGGTTATTTTGGTAGTCAGTTGGGTGGAGTCTAACCTGCCAATCAGGTCACAGCCTGATGTTGTGTTCCTATAAGTGGAGACCTTGGGGGACCCTCGGAGACTCTCCCCTTTCATCTTCCTGTTTGGTGGCTGCCCTGATTGCTGCCAGAGCCCTGCTGTTTCCACCGGTTGTGAATTCACATGACTGCACTCACCAACCTGTGATCCTCCTGCATTCTGCATCACTGCCTGTGTCTGTGTGAGTCTGAGGAGGGCCTTATGGACTAGTATCAGACTTATCAACCTGAATCAGATGACTGGGACACTTTGTTGATACATAATTACTTTTTGATATAAAACTCTTCTTACTCTTCTTATGCATGTCACTGGATTTCTCTAGTCAGCCGGGCCTAACACAGGTATGTCCCTAGATTTGGGATTGCTGAACCATATGGTAGTTGTCAATTTAACACTTCGAGGCCACCACACTGCTACAATATTTTGAGTTATAATTAGACCAGCGGGACAAGGATTCTCTGTGAGAATACACAAACATGTACAAGCTCCAGAAAGCACAGATTGTGGGTACCATCTGCCTAAATTTCAAATCCTAACCAGACATTCATTCATTTTTATCTGTCACCGAGATGATTAAATCATGAGCCAAGTACTAAGTTAGTAACAGAGTGGTGTACAGTAACCAATTCTATTGATCAATATTTGCATCCATGCATTGAGAGTTGTCAGAAATCCCAAGCACTTATATACAGCAAACATATAATGGGCTTCTGCAAAGTTGAGTCTTGTCAGCAGGGATGCTAGAGAAGTTCCAGGGTCCTGGAGGACAGTATTTCTACCAGAAGAGTAGATGAGGAAGATACATAAGGAAGATATTCCCAAGCCAACTTGGACCACATCCTTTGAGCAGTGTTTTCCAGAAGTAAGAATTCAAGTACAGTAGAACCCCAGGACTTGATGCTAATCCGTTTTAGAAGAAGCGTCAAGGTGCGATGCAGTTGAGTTCTGAATAAATTTTTCCCAGATAAGAAATAACTGAAAATGGATTAATCCGTACTCGACCACCACGCTTTTACCCTAACCTTGCCTTTTCATACAAAACATTACACAGAAATTTCAGAGTAAATAAGTTCAATCATATACTAATTTAAATAAGAAACACAACATTAAAAAAGGTTTTAACAGCTGCAGGATGGCCCATACCTTGAGACTGATGAGGATCTGGATCCGTGGACACGATGTGGAGAGGAGGTGTGGAGAGACGGTGTGGAGAGTCACTGTTTGGAAGGGGAATCCCCTTCCATAAAATCAACTGTAGCTGCTTTTCAGGAGTTTTTTCCTTTCTTTGCCTTTTTTCGCTAGGACCTAGCTTTCTCTTAAAAAAAAAAAAAATCTGTCTAATGTGGTCTGTTGTTGGTGTTTCCTTAACTGTTTTCTAAAAGGATTTATTAAATATCATCAATATCAATAACACCGTTCAGTTCCTTATCACGATTCTTTTAGAAAAACTCTTTCTTAGCACCCAAGTTTTTTATCTAAAAATAATACAAAAGCCACAAAAACTAAGAAAATTATAGCAAAACGATTGGAACACAGCTGCAAAAGGTTTAAACAACGCGTACTAACAACACCAACTAACGCCGAGTGACTGAAACAAGAACTGCTTTTGTTTATAAAAATCACCTGTGTCTGGTCGGATTCAATTGCTTTGTTTCAAGCTCCAATGCAAAAGTTTCTCGACATTTTGTGTTGAAATCCAATGATGTCGAGTCCTGATGCAGCCAAGAACCAGGGTCCTACTGTAGATGACCCAGTCACATGTATAGGTTTGGGTTTCCCAAAGTTTTAAAAATCTCGTTCTGAAAAAAGATTTTTGTTTGTTTGGGTTTTGTTTGAGAAGCAAGATTTTCTCTGGTACCAATACTCTTTCTAAACCTCAGGGCCATAAGCGTGTTTCTGGAGTAAGATCCTTTCCTAGCACCTAGCTCGCTCCCTTCTCCCCATAGCAGCCCCTCTACTAATCTTGAAGGTTACCTCTCCCTCAGGGTAGGTGCACAGGCGCTGGGTGGGCCCTATTCCTGCTCAAGAGTGCACTGACAGTTAACACATTGCATGGCCGGGCCGTTGAGCTCAGTCCACAAGTGGACAGATGAGGAATTCTTACCCCTGTTGCCCATCAGGCTTGACTCTGAGACTGGAACCGCTGCCGTCATCGTCCCGCGAGGCAAAAACCCTCAGAAGTTCCACGGACTATGAAGCCATTACAGTGAGAGGCAGAGAGGAGAAATGAAGTTCTGTGTGTGTGTGTGTGTGTGTGTGTGTGTGTGTCAGGGGTGGGGTGGGGTTCACACCCTAAAGACACTGTTTGAGCCCAGAATCCAACTGTACTTGCGACCCTGGTTCCCTGTGGGCTTTTTCACGGTGCGTAAAAAAAAAGAATTCTGTATTTGCCTCCAGTTCTTGGGAGCAGATGGTCTAACACTTATACAGGACAGAAAAAAACCCTGTAATAGATCGCTTTAATCAGATGCCATCTCATCATTTCCAGGCCCGGTCCCAAACTCACCAGGGTTAGAGCCTCTGAGCTATAAAACTGACAGAGGGCTTTCAAGATGCTTTGAGATCCACATCACAGAAAATGTCATTATGAGATGTTTAGCCAAACGCTATTTTGTAGGAATTTTCAGAAGTCCGAATTCCACTTGTAGGGTCATTAAAGAAAACTAGCAGAAGGGCACTTAGGTGCAATCTGCTTTGCTTGGCTGATATTGGCCGGCCCCAAAGAGAACTGCACCAGAAATTGTGTGTAGTGAACACAAGATCCTAAAGCACGCGAAATCGATTTTTAGAGTATTTATTGCTTCTGACAGCTGGCTTATCACTAGATGTAGTCATGCAGCTCCCTCCCTGTTCCCTCTCACACGCACACCTGATGAGTTAATATGAATGATGCCTCATGAGAAGCCGTCTGTGACTTTGAGATGTCTTCTGCCAGCTAACACTGAGCACAACGACTGCAGCATCCGTCTGTCCATCAGCCCCCCCATTCCACAACGAAGGCCTGGCGCCAGCAATGCCAACTGGGGTCTGATTCCACCTAAGGACTTTCATGTCATGTCTGACTCTGATTTGATAGTCCATGAATCCATATATTTGAAGAAGGTTTTAACCAAGCCTCACTGAACAGTTTATAATCTGAAAATAAAAAATGGGGGGGGGGGGGTTACACAGAACAGTGACATCAACAACAAAAACAGTGCAGTGCTGAACTTTAAAAAATAGAATATTGCTGCCACCTTGTGGCTATCTGGAAGTAAAAATAATTTTTCCCCACAGGTTTTTTTCATAATGACTGTTGCCAATAGCAGGCTTACTTACCTTAAACCATCGTTGGCCTGCATGCTCTGTAACTCTACTGTGAAGTAGGTTTGCAGAGGAGATCAGCAGTTTTACCCTCATCAGATGCCTGGTGTCTGGCGCTGGTTCCATCAGTGTCTGCCGCTCTCTCCTTGTTAAATGTTGTCTTCCCTTCCCCCAAGTTAAGAGGTGTCCATGCACTGGCCTGTGGCTTCCCCTGTCCTCTCCTCCCCCGTCCACTCACATTCACCATCAAAGTCAGTTTCCTTCCATGTGAAAACTCTTCATTCCTTTTGTTTAACGAATAGTGGTCTCCTACAGTATTGGCCCTTTGTGATTGACTATTTTCACTCAACATCACATATTTTTTCAGTATTAACGTGGTAAACAATAAAAATCAAGACAAAGAAAAGACTTGCCAGCCAAAGGGAATGGTCATTGGAGGTTTCCAAGGGGCGGAGGGTAAGGGTGAGAAGATGCAGCAATGGATGAGTCGGTTGACAAGGGTTGATTTTGGTGCAAGGGAGGAAGGAGGCGCAAAAGAGTGGGAGGTGAGGGGTGTGGTGGAGGTAGGATGGAATTCAAGTGAAAGTGTGGGGGGGGAGGGGGGAGTGGATGAGTGGTTTGAAATGTAGAATGCAGGGTTGATGGTCTGCAAGGTAACCCCCCACCTAATTCACAATAAAAATTCATTTAACACAAACAAAACATGGTAACTAGCCAATCTCTGTCACAGTTGGCTCAGACAACTTGGATTGCCTGTGGTTTGCCTTTGCCTCCTACCGTCTTTCTTATTCACCAGCCCTTCGTGTTGTTAGTGTTAGGCGGTGCCGTGTGCTGGGTTCCCACTTGTACGAGCGCTGGGTCTGACAGACTAAATAAAACCCTGCCCGCTGCCCACGGCTGCTCCTGTGCTTGAGCCGCAGGGAAAGCTACTGTGTCAGTCCACGGCACCAATGGCCTTCCTCTCTTTCACTGCCCCTCCTTTCACCAAGGTGAGGTCCCTCCGGACAACATGTCCAAAGTCCAAGAGATGAAGTCTCTCTCGTCTTACTTCCAAGGAGCACTCTGGTCGTATTTCTTCCAAGACAGACTTGTTTGTCCTTTCAGCAGTCTGTGGTCGTTTCAATAGGCTTCACCAGCACCATGCAAACGCGATTCTTCTTTGATCTTCCTTATTAAATATCAAACTTTCACATACAGACAAAGCTACTGAAGTAAAATACCATGGGTTGGGCCAGATACACTTTATTTCTCAAAGTAATAGTCTTGCTTTTCAACACTTTATAGAAGTTTTGTGCAACAGACTTACCCAATGCAATGCGTATTTTGATCTTTTGACTGCTACCTCTCTAAGCACTGATTGTGGATCCAACCAAGACAAATGAAGTCCTGGACCAGTTAAATCTTTCTCAGTTTATTACGAGGCTACCTATTGGTTCAGTTGTGAGGATTTCTATCTTCTTGACATTCAGTTGTAATTCATACCGAAGGCTGCAATCCTTGATCCTCATCCGCAAATACTTCAAGTCCTCCACACTTTTAGCCAGCAAGGCTGTGTTATTTGCATATCACAGGTTGTTCATAAGCCTGCCTCCAATCCTGAAACCCAATTCTTCCTCATATAAGCCAGCTTCTCTGATTATTGGCTTATTGAAACCTCGTCAGTAATTGGAATACCTATGGATAGCTCCTAGCATGATACCCACTAATTGACTAAATGACTATTTCAGAGATTAAAAAAAAATTATTTACTTTTGTTTTCAAAAATAAACACAACAGAACATCCTCCCCCAATTCAACGATTTCTATGTGTACAATTCAATGACATTGAAACAGACAGGCTGAAACACGTTGAAAACTAGAGCAACTGGGTAAAACGGCAGTGTCAACTACAGATTCTTGATATGGCTCTTCCCTAAAGTGAGTCCAGGGACTCTATAAAGGAAAACAGCATTCATGCTGAAGCTAGAAGCAGGGCCAGCTCCAAACCACAGCCTGGGAGCAAATGAAGATAGAATACGGTAACAGAAATGTGACTCACTCCCCAAAGCAGCGGTTCTCAGCCTGTGGGTCGCGACCCTTTTGGGGGTTGAACGACCCTTTCATGGGGCTCAAATGACCCTTTCACAGGGGTCACCCGATTCATAACAGTAGCAAAAGTACAGTTATGAAGTAGCAACGCAAATAATTTTATGGTTGGGGGGGTCACAACATAAGGAACTGTATTTACAGGGTCACGGCATTAGGAAGGCTGACAACCACTGTTCTAAAGGAAAGTGTGCAGAATGCAAAAACAAGGCGAACAAGATGAATGAAAAACAGTTGCTGTCAAGTTGGATCTGATTCTTGATGACCACGGAGTAGAACAGTGTGCCAACCAGGTGTTCAATGGCTGGCATTCCAATGGCAGACTGCCAGGACTTTCTTCTAGGGCAGCTCTGGGTGGCTTCAAGTCTCCAATTTTCCACTCAGTAGACAAGCACGTAACCTTTTGCACTACCCAAGGCCTCCTAACATACCAAAGGCGGAGGAATTTCTGAAAAACTATTTCTCTGGGAGGTCCAAGGAAAGAGACAACATATTCTGTTTTCTGCCTCATTCACATGCTCTAGGTAAGACCGAGGCTTAGGCTGGGAGAGTTGTAAAACTTACCCCCCCACTGATCTAAAGGAAACACATAAGGGCCAAAGTCTAGTTAGCCTAGGACCATTTGTACATAGCCGGCAATGAAACCGCAAACACAGAATCCGTGGGGACAGGCAAACACAGGGCTAAGTTTTTCCCTCATTTAAATTTTTCTGAAATCAAACTGCTTAAAGAATCTACAGCAAAGGAGACTCTCCCTCCGAAAGATCATCTCCTCTATTTGGCACCTACCTTTGAGCAGAGGAGTATCTTCTACTGGACTTTTTAAAAAGCATTAACACTGAACACGTGATTTCTACTTGTTTCTTTAGATATCATAAACCAACCCAGGCTGACTGCCCCTGGATCAGTGCTGACCTATAGCGACCCTATAAGACACAGAAGAACTCCCACCTTGGGTTTTCCGGACTGTGCATCTTTACTGGAGCAGAAAACCGTATTGTTTGCCTGTGCAGCAGCCGATGATATCAGACCGCCGACCTTGTGGTTAGGACTCCAGCTAGTAACCCTCCAAGCCACCAGGGCTCCTCAAGAGCTCCTCCTGGTTAGAAAATAAAGAAACTGTGCCCTTCCTTACTCTGTCGAACTTTCTGGGGCTGCTGAAAGTTTGCTTTAAGCTGTGAAATGAAACAAAATGGCATTTGGCTGAATGATTTCCAAGGTCATTCTGAATCTAAAAGGTGAAAATTCACATCTACTTCCCTGCCAACCTTAAAATATGCCAATAATAATAATTGTTCAACTTATGGTGCTATATAAAACATAAACCTCCTTCCATTATTAATTTCTCAGTGAGAAAATTTAATTTAAAGATGAAAGATCTTGTGGGGGGGAAGCAGTTTGAAATCTAAAATATTTCTGTTAAAGTCCAAAAGATTTAAAGCCTGAAGAGGTCCTGCTGTCTTTGTGCATTATAAATCCAAGGAAATGGAAGTTTCAAGTCTAAACTAAAATTCCAAAATCATTCTCCCCAACTTCTCATTCTGCTCCATTTCAGTTAGATGAATTCCCTGTGTCCGGGCTCATTTTGCAGCGGCAGTCTGGACTGTCTACCTCTAGCTTTTCCCCCTGCAGTTCCTTTAGGACCTCAGGAATTATGTTAGTTCACTGCCAAGTAACTCAAGAATCTCACTTTTTAAGGATCCAAAGCACTAGTAGAAAAATGAATAATTATTTAAGCATTCACCTCGCACATTTTAGAAAGGGAAGTAACCCTCAATCCCTAAAACAGTTATCCCAACCCTCAGGTCATCCCACACAAATTATCCCAATACCCAGTCATTTGAACTGCCAACTGTCGAGAAACACAGAATTTAATCTTTGAAAAAGATTGCTTCCAACTACACAGGGCTACTGGTCAATTCATGATGCTTATCTGGGTCCATGACCGTTATCTTACAATTCTATTGATCTATTGGATTAAAATTTAAAAAAGAAATTATAAGTCTGAAAATAGGGAACTAGAGAGCAATTTGTAAGGATGACAACAAATGACAAATTAAGCAGAGGGAATAATGTACTTATAGAATTTGCATATGGTGAGGAAGTCAAGTAGACTAAGATAGAACAAACTATTTGAAACTTGAGAAGAAATTAGTAAATTTAGGGTAACCTCAAAGAAAATTATAAATTTCATCAAAATTTTAAAAAAGGGAAAGCAAAAGATTTAGGAAACACTAAAACAACAGCAATGAAGAAAATGACTAGAAAACACATAAATAAAATTAATTCAACAGCAGAAATCACTTGGAATAAAGAAATTGGCAGCACTACAAGAAAACACATAGCCAAGTGACAGCAATAAATTAATACCTGTCAATAAGGACACTGAATGTAAATGGTGTAAATGCACCAGTGAAGAGACAGAGTAGCAGAATGGGTAAGAAAAGAAAACAGGTCCATCAATATGCTGTTTACAATAAACACATCTTAGTCACAAAGACAAAAATTGACAAAATGAGAAGAATGGGGGGAAAATATCAAGCTAGTGAAAATAAAAAAAGAGCAGGAACACCAATATCAATCCATTTAAGAGACCAAGAAGGGCAATTAAAGGGTCAATTGAACAAGAAAATATAACCATAGTGAATATCTTTACATCCAATGAAAGAGCCTCAGCATATGTTAATTATACTCATAGAGTTAAAGAGAGAAATAAACAACTCTATCATAATAGATTTTAATAAACC